CAGCTGGTTTTGACATTTCGTCACAATAATCACATTTGAATATCATTTCAACCTATTCAGTTCCATCATCAAAATTCGGACAGAAAAGGCAAAACATACTTTGACAGACTAAACTCTTTGTTCATCTCCATGTAAACAGTGTTGCATTCATTAACCGTCAATCTTTTCAACTATAATCTGATTACCAAATTATTACTTTATCAAGCGATTCCAATTAAACATTTAAAGTTGACTGCTCAAGGCGATCAACCTGAACCAAAGAAGCAAGCAAAAGAAACGTCAATTAACCAAATTTGACAAACAGCCAACGAAAAAAGTGTTTCATGAAAGAAAAAAAACTCATCTAATCTCTGAAAACAAACTGAACCAAAACTTCGAAAAAATCGATAGAAAAATTGTTTTATTTTCAACTACAAAAGGTTGCGAAAATGTTGAAACAAGATTTGTGCAATTCGTAAAAAGTCGATGAAATAGACTAAAGTTGTCTTCGAAGTGATCTAAGATTTGATCTAAACTAAATTGAAAGAAAAAAATTCGAATTCGAAGTTGAAATGATTTGATGAAAATAGTAATACAATGTTTTATTGGAATGGCAAACATTAACAGATTGTCCATTTCATTTGTCTTGTTCTGCTCATTAATTTATCTCGATTCATTGTCTCATGGATTATTCATTTATCGATTTCTTGTTTTATCTCTTTTTCTTTAAACGATCTCATCATTAACATGATGAAATGATCTAGCCAAAACTGTAATAGATACTGATCACGTTGACCATTCTTCCTTGCCTGCTCTTCCAATTTCACCGATCAATCGTAATCATGAAACAATTGATGGCCACACCAAGCAAACCGAGCCATTCTGGAAAAGTGATCAGGCAAGTCATCAAACTTGAAATAATCATTTCGTTTTCTTTTCGTTTGTTTGTCTTTTCCTTTTTTTCCATGTTTTTGCTCGACTTTACGATTCTTTACAAAACCATGTTGACCATTATTTTTCAGGAAACAAACAGTTTGCTTATTACAAAATTAATTTCCTTTTTGCGATTCTTTTCTTCTTTTTTCTGTTCCATGTTCCAAGCTCAATCTGCTCATTAATATTGTCACCATCATGAGATTATCATTTTACTGCATTTCATTTGAGCGACAACGAAAAGGCTGAAGAAAAAAGAAGAAGAAAAAAAGAAGAAATTAAATGCAAAAATTTATCATCATTAAAACTCGTTTAATATTAATGAGCTTCTAAATGTCAACCTTTTTTGACTCGACAGTCTTTAATCCTACATCGATATGATACCACTTAACGATCATTAATATCGTCTTTCCTCTTTGACAGTCGACCATTTTTCTGTTCAAGACTATCTTTTCACTCCCTGCAGAGATTTTGGATAACTTTTCATTCTTTTCTTTTTTCGGTCTTTTTTCCCTTTCTCTCTGGTCAAACAGGAATCTGCCAATTTAACTCACTCGAAACAGTTGAGTAACAATAAAGTATTCAACAGCCTTTTGTTTCCAACAATATTTTGTCTCTTGTCGTTTGCCTTGCTCATCGGAATGTTTATGGTTCTCCGACGTTACAATGTGATATCAAAGTTGCGTTCAAGACGTAAGCTCAGCCCAGATCCGTCAAAAGGGTCACTGGCCCGTTGTATACAACAATATGTAATTAACCCAAACTATTATTCAAGGTAAATCTCAACATTTACATTTCATCAAAATCCCGATTCCATTACATTCCCATTCAACTCAAAACCAAAATTCAATCGCAATGATCAAAGTTGACCAACCAACTGAATCAACTTAGAAACGAGAAAATCGAACCTTTAGAACTTTCAAAAAAATCTTTTTCAACAAAAACTTTCAAAGAACATTTTTTTCCCAAAAGTCGAAAAGCTCAAAATTGAGATGAAATTTCAATTTTTTTCATTTTCTTTTCTCGAATCCAAAACTTCAAACTGGGAATTGCATAATATTTTCGTTTAAAGTCGATAAGACGATCCAAGATATCAGTTTTTTGAAACTTTTCATTGTCCTGGCGTTTTGCATTACGAAATTCCCATTTGGAACTTTTCTGAGAGAAAAATGGAAAAAAAATTCTTTATAAAACTGTGAAACTGAGAAATAAATTCAGTGAACAAACTTAATGAACATCTAAACATTTTCATAACTCATTAGCTATTCATAGTTATCTTGTCATACAGCAAAAATAATGATACCAATAAAAATGGTAAAACATGGCAAGATTATTTTTCTCCATGAAACTATTCAATGTTGAAGTAGAAAGAAAATAATTTCAATAGTTAAACATTAGCTTAGTTTTTTGTTTCAACATCAAACTTAACACTTTTGGGTAAACAAAGGAAAGGCAATGAAAATGATGAATCCAGGGAAACGAAGCGATTATATTAATAAAATTTGTTATTCAAGTGGCAACGATAATATTGAATAATAATGTTGAAATAAAAGGCATAAAATATGGGCAATTGTTTGAGTAGAGTTTTGAAAACAGTAAATGGGTAAAACTAGGCTGGGAGTGAAAAGAGTAATATTCAATGGAATTGAATGATAAGCATATGAAATTTATTCATTTCCAACAATTTTCTTTATTCTTTTTTTTTCAAGGCAACTTTTCGCTCTTTGACAAAGTTTCAGTTGAAAATGATTTCCATCATGAATTATCATGAGATAAAGTGTATCAAGTTTGATGCTTGTTGTTTTAAAAGTAATCAAAATTTGCTTTCACTTTCCATTTCAAGATTCTTCAAGATTCAACTTTTCCAGAAAAAAAGACTTTTTTCATTCTAAATTAATAAGCTAAAGTTTCGCTGGAAACATTAGGAAATTTGATTCGAGAAACTCGAAAATTTTGATTCTAAACGTTGAACAGGATTTATCACGTAATCATGTTTGATGAAACTTTATCCAGGCCAAGTTGAGGGAAAAGATGAGATTCATTGGCCTTGGATTTTTCAACATGATAAGAGTTCTGATGGAAACAATGAGCAACATTTTAAAGCAAAATGTTAACCAGAAAAGTTTATTTCTAATGGAATTTGACTTTTTTTTCTTTTCTGAAACTAACTTTTTCTCTACACAAATGTATTCGAGTTTCAATATTGAATAATAATCTTTTCTCAATTTTATCGATAATTTTTTTATTCTTATTCTTAAATCCCTTGTTCCTAGTTCACCTGATGCATCGTTTAGAAAAATTCTTAGAAACATTGAAATTCCATCGAATCAAATTCGTTACCTGGAAGAGATTGGTGAAGGCTGTTTTGGTCGTGTTTATAAAGGTAAGATAATGACATCATGTTTGGTGGATCCACCGATGGGATGAGAAGTTGCAAGTAAAGCAAATAATTTTGCTGGATAATGATACAAGACTATTAGAGTGAAATTATCTGAGCCAAACAAGATCATTTTAATAATATTAAAAGTAAATAAATTTATTGGAAATGCAAATTTTCATCAAAATTTCAAAAAACCCTTAGCTTTTCCTGATAATTGGCTCATGTTTTTGCAGTCTTCTAGGAATAGGATAAGAATTATTGATGAGACAAGAATGGTATAAAAACTGAAGAATTAGCAGAAAATGCAAATGCAATAAAGAGATCAAAAATATCATGAATCGACTCTCACTTTGCAAAGAAAATCGAAACTTCATTTCTCCTCAAAATGTCTCACCAACGATTCTAACAAGGAAAGCCTTCCAACTTATCCGACTAAGAATCAATTTGCATTTGCAATTGACATTGATGCAACTAGCGGAATCAAAAGAACTTTTGTGAACTTAAATTTTCTTCATTTTTATATCTTCTATCTTTAGGTGAATACCAACCTACCGAAGATCAAGTCATTCAAGTGGCAATAAAAATATTAAAAGAAGGAGTTTCAAATGAACTTCGCAACGATTTTGAAAGGGAAGTTGAAATATTGTCCAACTTTCGTCATCCCAACATTGTTAAACTAATTGGTGTTACCAATGAAGAGGTTACACCTTCCATGGTTTTTGAATACATGGCACTGGGTGATTTAACTGAAATCCTGCGAAAATGTGATCCCAGAAAATTGAAGCATAAAAATGTCGACTCACCTTGTTCATCGACAACCGGAACAATACTATCAACTACAGACGAAAGTGAAATTAAACCTTTATACGAGGTGAGTTTCATTATGAACCATTAAACAGTGTAAACGAAACAAAATGTACAATCGAGATAATCATTAGGCAATGATGCAAAATATTCATTATTCATTCGGCTAATTGATTGCTTTGAAAAACTCTTCTCTTTCATTGGACACGTTTTCCCTGTTTCACTTTCATGGGACAAAATTAATGAGCAACTGAAATAATTGCAGTTTTCATTGAACATGATAGAGAAGTAAAAGTTAAACAAAGTTGAATGACAAATTAAATTTCAAATGACATTTAATTTGTCAAAATGTTTACAATATTTTGAATATTAAAAGCAAACCAATTTAGATAATTGAATTAAAGTTGAGTTTTATGACATGAGTTCGGTTGAAATTTCAATTTGATGAAATTCTTACAGAATTAAATTTTCGCAGCATTTTCAATGAAACTCTCTAATCATCGAACTTATGAAATCTTTTAATTTCAATATAAATGGTCATTTCAGGTGCACCAGATTTGGCTCTTGCTGAGTTTGCGAATAAATTTTTCGTCATTCATCGATTCCTAAATAATTCAGTTGAAATGGATTGACACATTATTCCAAAAATTTTTATTCTTCAATCTCTTTTCTGCCCAGACTTTTTCATGCAACTTATATAATACTTGAATAACAGTTTTCAAAGTTTGATTATCAGAACAAAATTAATTTTCCATTTTTGGATCAAATGAATTTTCTTGGAAATTAGTTTCTGGGAAAATCTGGAAACTAATTTCAACTCTTTCCAACTGAAAGAATTTCGAATCTTACTGATAACTAATGATTTTGAACTGAAATACGAACAAGACAACAAAAAGTAAGCCCATGAATATTGTTCTGTGTATGAAAAATTCTTTTCAATTGGAACTTAGATTTGAAGAAAAGAAATCTTTTTGAAAGAAATTCGATTCTTTAAGTTGGAATCTTTTGGTTGACTTTTGCCAGTTGAATATTGAAAGGTTAAAGAGTCAATTACGAAGCTTGAAAATTGATTGGATAGACTTGCAGAATAGAAAGTTTGTTACAATAATTACATTTGAAAGTGAATCATGATCATGATTGAATTTCATTGAATGTCTTTTTTCCAAGAGAAACACAAAATTTCTTTTCTCGATTCATCTTTTTCCAAACTTTAAATCATTGTAATCATCTTGGATCATCAAACTTTGTGATTGATTTAACTTTGAAAGTAATTTAAAAGTGATTCATCATGAAATCCAAAACTCAATTTCAGGCTAATTGGATGGTCATTTAAGCTGATTAAAGAAAAGCAAATGACAAAATTGATTCTTAAAGTGGATTATTTGGCTCAATAAATTGTCTCGTTTCTCGAAAAAAAACGAACGAATGAAATATTCTCAATTGACTGAATTTCGGTGAAAAATTGATGAAACTTGTGAAGACTTAAAAGTAAACAAAAGTTGAAAGAAAAATTCAATTCAGAAAAAGTTGATCTGAACAAAATGAGTTTATGAAAGTTGAAGTTGAAAGGAAAAGTGAAAAGTGTGCTTTAAAATTTTGCTTTTTCCTCTGTTCTGTTTACTGGAAGTTTTCATGATTCAATGGCATTTATTGTTGATCATTTAACCTCACTGATGGTTCATGAAACAAATGAAATCCAATGAACATGAACACTTTGACCAGTCAAATGGGAATCGATTGTGATCATTACAATGTTGTTTTTCCTTCGTTTCTCTGCTCTTTGCTTTCTCCTTGTAACAGTTTAATCAACAATCCTTTTTATCTTCATCATCTAAAAGTTTCACCATCCATTTTCACTTAACATGTTTTCATTTTTCATTCTGTCTACTGATCAACATCATGGAGAAAAATTTTCTCTTCCTGGTGTTTCTTTTCCTCTTTTCCTTGTTAAAGGGTTTCACTCAACACTGGCATGATGTATCACTCGACTTCAGCATTATGATGATGGTGAAGAGAAAAGGAACGAAAAAAATAGTAGAAAAAATGATGAAAATGATCTTCGTTGAACCGCATTTTGTAATCATCTTAAGATTTTCTTCTTCGAATTGTGATGATAGAGAATGATGATGATCAAGTGACAGTAAAAGGACAAGATGAAAAGGCAAAAGTGTTCGAGTGTGTAAAAAAGGAAAGAGTTGAACCCGGAAAAAAGAAAAAAGTACTAAAAAGAAAAGTGCTTTTTTGCCTTTTCTTTTTTCCTCTTCGTTACACGCTAATTGTTGAAATAGTTGCGAAGTTTGATTTAATCTAATAAAGCGTAATTTATTGGACAGTTTCATGTTTGACCTGATTAGACTCTTGAGATTTTACTCTGTAAATTGTCGAATCAATTTGTTATTTTTGTCTTCTCTCGTTTCTATTAAAAGGAGAAATGAGTTTCCATACTTCGTTCATCTGTAACTTGATTATTCAACTTTCGTCTTTACTCATCTCAATCACCATGCTTTCATTGATTACTTTAAATGCCTTCAAGTAAACTTTATTTGTCCTTGTAACTGTAATTAAAATTGATTGAATCTATTAATTTGACTAATTTTACATTCATTGAGTAACATTGATTTCCATTCTGTTTAACCATTGATTTATCGATTCTTCCTTAAACTGATCCATGGAATGATAAAGTTAGTCAAAATATTTTCAGCATTGCATGCATCAATTAAATGCCATAATTTTAACAATGAATCAGATCAAATTACTAAAGTGAGTTGATGAATTAAAAGTTTGAGACAAAAATTTAAACACAGCCTTCATTAAGCCACATAGACTATCCCGCATAACAGTAAAATTTCATGCAAGACGTAAGACCCGCTCGGTTGAACTTGGATTCACTTAAAGGACTTCGCCCGTTAAGTTTAAAAGCTTAAGTCTAACATAAAATGACAGTTATCTTGCAATGGAATTGAACTCACTTTCAGGGGGAAATTCAGATGCAGAAGATCAGTGTTCATTTCAAGTTCATCTTTACTCTTGATCTTTCATTTTAAATGAAAAATTTCAAGTTAGAAAGACTGATAATTGCATCGATAACCTGAGGTTCATTAGCAAAGTCTAATGCGTATCAAGTCGACTCTTCCCGGTCATATCTTGCAAGTAAACAGTAACTCACGATCGACTCAGTGACTGAGCTTGACTAGTTTAATGCCATTTGGTGCAACTTCTTGCATCAATTTTACTGAAAATAGTTTCAACTTAACAACTATTAACAAATAGTTCAACTGGCAAAAGATGAAAAGCTGTACAATAAATCACTTAAATGAAATGCCCATGAAACAAATGATAAATCATGTTGAGCAACAGAACTAAATGATTTCCAGTGTATTTTCAACCTTCTTTTTCAACATTTCATTTTCTCATCAGATAATTGTAAGTACATTGTCGACTTGGAAGAAACTACAAAAGGCTAACAAAAAACATTACCTGACAAACCTTACTTTTTGACGAACCAAAGCTATTTCCTTGGAACCACTTGGTTCCTCATGACAAAACATAATAATGCTGATACTAATATTAATACTAATAATGAGTAAAAGATGAATGATGTAAGAAGATATGATAAAATTACTTGAACATAATTATATTATGGTGAGATGAACAATATTAAATCACAATCATTCTTTTTTTTCTTCTTTTCACTTTTCCATTTCTCATTCAACCTTTACAAGCACTTATATTAACTCATTTTCAACCAAACAAGGAAGCAAATGATAGAAGTTCATAGATGAAAGATTCATAAATAACGCCAAAAAAGCTGAGAAAAAACGATTATTCAGTAAAATCTTTTCAAGAATCATTTCATTGTTGACTGAATCTTTTCAAGACCATGGCTGTTCATTTAGTGCTCATGAAAATGCATTTCAATGTTGCAAGTAAATGAAAAAATCAACAGAAAAAAACAATCGATTAGATGAAGCAAAGAGTTTCATCAATTATGAACATTCAAATGTTCATGTAAAGAAGTGAAACAGATTGAGTAAAGAAGCATAAATATGAACAAGTGCAACAACGAATCAAACACTGGTCATTATGGTAATGAACTTTCATCAAACATTCAACCGATTAATAATGAAACAAGGTTGAACAAATAGCCAAAGGAAGTCTTGTCAGCATTATCATGAAGAAAAAAGATAATCAAGTTTGGTGAATAAATTTAGGTGCAACAATTCACATCACCATGTATCCAGTTTCAATCAAACCAATTGACTTTATTCTTGTCATTTGTACAATTGTTTCATTTACTGGATAATATTGTTCATCATTTTTACGCAACCTTTATCTTCTTACAGGGTGATTTGATATGGATTGCCACTCAAATAGCTGCTGGAATGCTTTACCTTTCCTCTCAGCATTTTGTCCATCGAGATTTGGCCACACGAAACTGCCTTGTTACCCACAATTTGACGGTCAAAATATCCGACTTTGGCCTCTCTAGAGACATTTACACTTGCGACTATTACAAGGTATTTGACGGAGAAATTACTTTCTGATGAAACTTGAGAATTTTTTGCTTCCAACGAAAATCGCACTCCCACCTTGAACCAAATTAACCTTATTTTACCAACTGCAATCCAAAAGGAAATATTATCTTTAATACTTTGATAACAATAATATTTTCCTGGGAGTTTAAACTGTTATCTAGTTTACTCGACTAAGGCAGTAAAGTTTGAGTCAAAAAATGAAAACACTTAAAGTAACCTTGTTAAACCTTTTTTTTGACTTCAATTTTATCACTTATTTCTGGTGATATTTTGTTGTAAAATGTTTTTCCTCTTCAATCGAGTAAAGTTTCTTGTTTGAAACTCTTTTCACTCCCAGCTTTTATCCAGCAAATATTAGAAGTTTTCTGGTTTGAAATCACTTTTAATTGGAACTTTTAGCCAATTAAGCAAAGTTTTCCTAATGCATACAATGAACGTTACAAGTTGAATGTTAGTACATTTTGTCAGGGAGTGAATAGAAACTTGAGAATTATAATTGAATTCAAGTTGGAATTGAAATTTTTGAGTAAATTTTTTCTTTTCTGTGCCATTAATTTTGATTCAAATGTGTTAACTTTTTCAACAGGTAAATGGAACGAAAATGCTTCCAATTCGTTGGATGTCACCTGAGAGCATAATCTATGGTAAATACACTTTAGAATCTGATGTTTGGTCATTCGGTGTTGTCCTTTGGGAGATTTTTGCTTTTGGTAAGCAACCTTATTATGGACATTCAAATGACGAGGTAATTAAAAATGTTAACCCAAAAAAAACTTTTTTTCCAACTCAACAACCAACACAAACTCGAGAAGTTCAATTCAAAATAAAGATAGCAAATGCACTAGTTTATTGTCACCAAATGAGCAGCTCATTTCACTCCATTCCCAGTCACAAAACTCCCAACTGGGAATGGTTAAATAGTCAAATTATCTTTAGTATCACTAATCTACATATTGTTGGCATATAAAGACAATGAACCGAAATTCATCCAAACTGTGACTAAACTGTTCCAACATAAAAGTCATGATAAAAAACAAGAAATTCAGATTCCTGAGAAGTTAAAGGAAACGAAGGCTGAAACAGTTCTTTATCGACTAATCACTTGGTTGTGCCGTCACTGTAACACCGAAATTCCCATTTCTGTTCATTGAATCGTGAAAAATCTTTTCGAGTTTAACTCATCGATCAATGATTTTAAATCATCTTACATCAGCTCATTCCTCTAATGAGCAGCCTTGTTTAATATAAAAGGAGTTTCCAAGTACTGATGATGATGACGATGATGATCATGAAGATCATGAAGATAACTTTTCTCTTTTTCCTTTCATTAAAGATTCTCATTAATTTTGCAATCGCAATTCTTCTGTAGCCTAAAACTCAATATTGACCAATTTTTTTCTTCTTTTACCTTGAATTACGTTTCAACTTGATGAAAGATTTGATCAGTTAGTAAGATGATTCTAATAGTACAACCTCGAGAAATGATGATGATAACGAAGCTGAAGATGAAGCAGAAACGAGAAATGTTCATCTTAAGTTGAAGTAAATGGTTATTCCATCCTAATTCGTACCCTGACAATAAGCAACATTTTACTTTAATCACTGTTATTACAAGATAAAGGTTGATATTGTGCCAACGGTGTTGGCAAACAAACTGTTTTCATTTGCGAATGAATTTAATGAAAAAAAATAAGTAAATGAAATGTTGACTGAGAATCCAGAATCAAAGTGGAAACTGAAAGAAAATGTTTCAATATTTTTGTCTAAGTTTGCTTTTCTTGTTGATTTTCAAGTTGAATTCAATTTTTAGTTTAAACATTTTATCAGTGGAAATTCAATTTTACATGTTTGATAATTGAAATGCAGTAACATGAAAATGTTTGTTTTTACCAAATGAACTTAAGATATTAAATTGAATTTGATTTAAATTCAATTTCAGATTATCATTGAAATGCAAGAATAATTTTCCTCTTTTCATTACTTCATTTAAATCAAACTTCACCAAAACAATCGTTGCATACAGTTAATCATTTCATGGTGAAATCATTTCTCATCAGCAACTGATATCTAACAGTTGGTTGATAATGCAATTGAAAGAACAAGTATTTACATAATTTGATGAAATTACCGCACAATTCACCATTCCAAGGGTCACATTGATTCCACCAATTTCATCATGAACATGTTAAACTGGTTAGTAAGTTGATTAACTCAACCACACGAGTAAAGGGAATCATCCAATTGATATCAAACGAAATTAAACAAATGATAAAATGACAATTTCCATCAAACTCGACTTATTTTCAGACAATTTCAATTCTTTTCTTATAACCTTTTTTCATGCAAATTACACCAACTAATTCGAGTATATTGAATCATGTGAAGAAGAAAACTTTCGATGTAATTATTTGAAACTTGATACACTTTGATCTCAAGTATGTTCAAGTTTCGCTTCAAGTAATTTAAAGCTCAGAATTTTTGATCAAAGAACTCTGAGAAATTTGATGAATTTTCTGCAAAAACTTTCTTACTAATGAATATTATCTCGAGTTCGCAAAAGGCCAAATAGTCAGTGACTAGCCTAAAACCTTATGATGCACAATCGAAGCAAAAGTTCAACTCTTTAATAGACTTGTTGAACTTTATTAAAGTAAAAATACATTGGTTTCGAGTTTCATGTTTTCGTGGAAAAATGTTGTTTTTCGAGTTTCAATCTGTCCAATAAAGTCTAAAATTAGGCTAAAAAGGTTATTGATTTTTAGTAAAATATTTTGGCTCTTCTTTAAACGAAAAATAAGCAGAAAAAGGCAAAATGTTTAGATTTGAGAATCATATTAGAATCAGGGATTGACTGGAAAAGAGAAGAAAAATCGGGAAAACTTTATATGAATAGGTTTAGGAATTTTCAAGGCTAAGAATTGAATCAATTATCTTTACATGATATTGTTTTGTTGGAAATAAAAAGTTGAAGATTTAAGGGAAACGAAGAAAAGAAAATGTTATTTAATAAAGCGTTTGACTTTTTCTTGCTTTCATTTCGTTCCTTTACTTTTTGATTCTACTTTTTACTTCCATTAGGTTATCAGGTTGATTCTTCAAGGAATCCTGTTGATTCCACCAGAAGACTGTCCTGAATTTATATACAAGTTGATGGCTGGCTGTTGGAAAACTGAGCCAAAAGATCGACTCAATTTTAATACAATTTACAAGGAATTAATTACCAACTGTTCACCTGATAGACAGAGGATAATGGACGAGATTGAGAAGCAAGAGTCGGAAGAAGAAAGTGAAACGGCCGATGAAATCGTCAACATAGAGAATTACTTGATGCCTGAAGATTTGGTGGAAATCGTGTAAACTGATAGCCCAAGCTTGTAACTGTCCATTGGGACGAAAAACTGATTCGATATAAACTGATTTTCTCCCCTGAATCTCTTTCCATTTTTACGATTCATTATTTTCCATTTCTCATTTTCCAAAATCAATAGAATTCATTCCATCATTCATTCAAATGTCTGTTCTTCCTTTAAGTTTCAATCGATTAGCATGCAAAAGAAGAAAAGAAATCACTTTAAAATCAATTTAGAATAAACCTAACAAAGTATTCATAAAATGATAAATTGTAACATTTGTTGAAAAGTCTCTAAGATTCTTCATATACTTGTAACTCAAATAAAGTTTTTATCTTAACTAAAACGTCCTTTGCAACATTTTATATCCATGGAATCGGCGGAAAATCTCGTCGATAAACTATGAAAATTCTTAGTAATTTATAGACGATGAACTTGCAGCTTTGCACAGTTTTTCTCAATTCTTTATAACTTTTGGTTCTTTTGCTTCGCATTTTGATTTCCTCCAATATGGAGATTTAAGAAGCTTGTGTCAGGTGAAATAGGTCAGAGGCTAAGTAAATCAACCTTTTGTGAACAAGCATATTGACTTTAGTAGAGCTTTGGAAATGCTGTTTTATTTAATGAGGCTTTTTTCGAGTTTCAGTCAATTTATTCATGGATAAGCTACAATTAGGACCGAGTTAACCAGTGTGCAGTTTGTTTGGGTTTAATACTCAACGAAATTGAAGTCTAAGGAAGGATTTTTCAAAATGAAATGGATATTCGATGAAAAGCAAGAGTTAGGAATTTGTAACTTGATCTTGAAGAGGAATCTAAAAATGGCTCAAATCTTCTGTTGATTGATTTAACTCATCAGCAGGACCAGTTGAAAAGTTATTTCTTTGATTTAACATTGTAAAGTAAACCAGAAAATGGGTTTTACCAGAGAAATTGAAGTTTTTATTTGCAAAACTGGACGTAATGAGCAAATCTAAAGTTGTAAATCTTTTCTTCTTTTATTCATGAACATCTTTTTTTGCTATAAGACATGGTTTTCATGATTCAGGTGCTGGCATCTACTGTAGTATTTATGAGAAGTAATTTTCGATCACAGAATTTTACAGATTGATTAATAAGCCAGTTCGCAAGGTTTCATCGGTAAACGTGCAAAGCTAATTGCGCTAATTGTGCATGAAATGTTAATTACCTTAGAAATGTTTAAAATGAAAAGTCGAGAAACATTGAACAATGAAATGAATGCAGTTTAGCATAAACTATTAATAGCATGGTAAGATGAACTTCGTGAAAAGATTAAACATGGCTGCATATTTAATCCCAACAAAGTAACACAATTTTATCATGAAAATATTTTCCTTTCAGTTCAGAATTACTAGTGACATCTAGTCTCATGAATATCACATGAAACTTAAACAGAAAAAGTAGGACAATGTGCGACACTCGAAAGCTGAGCATGGCTTTTGACACCAGCAAATGCTCAGTAATGAAAGCAACATTTTCTTATTTCAGACACTTTGCAACTTTCGACTGTTTGCAAAGTGTCAAACATTGTTACCGTTAAAAAGCAAGAATCGAGTGAAGAGAATCGAAAAGTGCCCAAAGAGAAAAAAACAAAATCTTTTTCTTTCCTTTGTCAAGTAAAGCTCAACTCGAATCTCGATACAGAAACGCTGAAAAGAGAAGTCGAAAGGAAATAAAGTGCAACAAGTATAATGATGTGCAACAAAAAAGTGCAAACAAAGATGAATGAAAAGATTGATTCGACTTTTCAAAGTTACATTTACTGCGACATTTGTTTATTGAACCGAGCATCGGAAAACTATTGAAAACCAAGGAGTAAAAGAGTTCTGAAAGTGACCCTCAAAAGTAGTGGAAAAACTTTTGTGAAAAAACAAAGTGAACAATTGAGTGCCATGGGAGGTGAAACTCCACAGGCCATGATTGCCGACAATGGGTCTACCCTGTTGGCCAGCATCAATACATTGAACATGACCCAAGACTGGCAAGACTTGGTTTCAGTGAATTTACTTGAATTGTCTTTCTATGTTTTCCTGTTTACCATTGGAGGTTCAGCCAATGCCTATGTAGTCTACAACCTGGCTTGGGGTAAACGGTTAACCTCAACTCGCCATGAAAAACTGTTGCTCAACCTGGCCATAGCTGATGCCATTGTGACCCTTGTAATGACACCCACCGAGATTGCATGGAGAATCACGGCTTCTTGGAAGGCGGGTAACTTGATGTGTAAATTGTTCCAATTTTATCGCCTCTTTGGCATTTACCTTTCCTCAATGGTACTCATTTGTATATCGATTGATAGACTGCTCGCCGTTTATTCACCCTTCAAGTATCAAACTTACGATATTTTTGTTAAAAAACTGCTCATCGTTGCTTGGCTATTGAGTTTCATATTTGCTCTTCCTCAGGTAAAGTAACCTCAACATGAGATAAAGTTTTTGGTGTTTTCCATTTTTCATGTTTTCTTTTTCTTTTTACGACTTTTTTAGCATTTTCTTGACTCAAGTTGAAAGCAAAAAGTCAATTTCATTTTCATTTTAATATTCAATTTAAATTTTAAAGCTTTGGGTTTGCTTTAAATAGTGAATTTCAGTTTCATTTCTTGACAGAAGTGATTGAAATTTTCGTTGCTTCTTTGCTCTTCGAGTGATTCGAGTGAATAAACTTTGAAATTGTCTTCTTCTTCATGATTTTGTTGCAGAATGTTGGTGAACAAATTCATGAAGAGAACATCTTGAAGAGGAAAAGTCTCATTTTATGATCACATTAAAAGCGTTTTTGCAATATTTATGTTCATTTTGGTTGACATGAATCATGTTTATAGTTTATTCAAATTCTAAGCCTTCTTTTCCTTCGTTTTTCTTTTACAGATTTTCATATTTCATGTTGAAAGTCCATCAGAATTTCCTGGATTTACTCAATGTGTTAGCTTTAAATCTTTTCAAACTGAAACGCAACTTCGAATGTACAATATCTTTTGTTTATCCATAATTTACTTTGTGCCTTTACTCTGCATCTCACTGTGTTATACATTCATTTGTGTCAAGATAAGACGGAAAATGGTTCGAAGATTTTTAACCGGTAAGTTGAACAATTATGTCTTTCGATTAACCATTCAAATAAATGTTAATAACATTTGCATTCTTGATAAAGTTCAACATTTGCAGAAACTTTCATCTTCCATGAAAGATGAACCAATTCGCCTTTCAAGTTGTCACGATAAATTTCGTTTCCAAATCTTTGACTTCTCGTTCAAATGTTATCTTTTCTCGCACTAAACACACATTAAACATTCATTTTACCAGAAATCAAGATAACATGAAAATTCAGTGAATATTGTTGCCTTTCATGAGATATGTTTGCATGAAATTTCATTTTCTTTTTCCTTTGATTTCTTTTATTAATCTCTTCAAAACTAATCTGTTTGAACTTGGACTGAACCAAAATTTTCTTTTCAAATGAAAATCTTCAATTCAGTCAAGCTTCAAGTTTAGAACCTAAAACTTGAAATTTATCCAAAAAAATGGAAACATTTTGAGTCAACTTGAGAAATGGCGAAATTTTTCATAAAGAAATTGTTTATCCGAACTTCATATTTCATTATGAAATACTTATCATTGAATAACTTTTATTAGAATAAAATTACATTGAAATAATTCAATAAGAATCGAACGTAATTGAATTTGTTGCAAAATGCCAGCCTCAATTATTCATGATTCATTTTTTTTCTCTATTTTCCGGATTCCATCTTCGTTGATGCAATGATAGTGTTTCGGAATGGAGATTTGACTACAGTTGTTAATCCTGAAGTTCAACATTCAGAGACGATTGGCTTTACGAGTAACCAACTGCAATCAGCTCAAAATTGTCACTCTCCTCATCCGCACAGTAATGCAAATGGTTGTGACTTAACCACTGAGGGTGCAACACTGACTCGGCCATCATCATCATCAGCCCCAGTAGCGCCTGTAACAACTCCAAGTAGAGGTTCATTGAGATGCATAGTGTTGCCCGTTTCATCGGCCAGTCGTCAGCGACAAAAGATTGGAAGTAAAATTGTTAAAGATACTGTTATTATAATAGCTGCATTTATCGTCTGTTGGACACCTTACGCCACAATCCATCTTTGGTACCAAATTGACTGGTCATCGGCATTCCAAGTGGACAAGAGTTTGCAAGGAGTGCTTTTCTTGTTTGCCATTTCAAATTCATGTGTAAATCCATACATTTACGGTAAAATATTTGATCCAACTTGCTTACTCAAACAATAAAAGTGCAAAACTTAAAAATAACTAAATGTCTCTTTACTCTCTTTGTTACTCTCTTTGCATTTAATAGCAATTATTTTGAGGCAGTTTTGAACCATTTCCAGTTCAATTTACACTGAGTTAGTCATGAAATGGAAACACAACTTTTTAAAGAAACCTTTCTTAAATATTAATATTTCCTCTAATTTTGGCATCAATGCTTTGCCATCTAACCTCGACAAGATTTCATGAAAAGTTGAAATTTGAATATTTATACAATATAATATTTTTCGATAAAATAGTAAATTGCTAACTCAGATCAAGAAATGCTCAGTTGGAAATCAAATCCTATCTCAATATTTCATCTATTCAGTGAACTTTTTGATGCAATATTTACTTCAAGACTCAATTGAATTAGAATAAGTTAACATCAAAAATAGATTAATTCAGGCAACTAATTTCTTTTGAAATGCTTGAGTTTTGTAATTTTTTGCATCAATTTTTTTCTTTCGTGAATCAGCATCAATTGCGAATTAAATATTAATGAAATGCTCTTGAAATTTGATGCATTTCATGCAAAATTTATCGCCACTTAAATCATTAAACTGTCAATTGATTCATTTACTCAACTAAGCATAAACAAAGACTAATTCAGCCTTTTCTTGCTTATCGAAGCGATTGTCCAACTCATGGAAACTCGAAATTTTCGAGCAAATTAAGAAAAAACGAAATAATTTATTCGAAAACAAAAGAAACTACAAATTCGAGAAAAACTCCACAAACTGGCAAAATGATCGAGAAAAAGAAAACTCTACGAAAAAGCGACAACAAATACTTTTCCCTCAGTTTTGAACAAATGAGTATCTTTTTGCATTTCAACTTTGATTTCCAGAAAAGTAATGGAAATGCAGATTGAACGAAAAGTGTTGAACAATGAAAGTTGTGACTAAAGGATAACAGTTCAAAGTTGAATCAAGTTTTCATCAACTTAAGCAACTGGAAACAGTTAATCTCATTAAATTTCATGCATTATTGAATACCTTTAATGGTTTAATAAACGTTAAAAAAGCATTTACTTTCACTCGAAGTACATTATGAGTTTACCAAGAAGCTTAGGTCTTGGCTATTTACAAGGGAATCAAAAGGTGCTTTTGTTTTCAGTTAATGAAACAAGAAAACTTGTTTCGAGCCTTAATTTGTTTCACTTTTTAGACAACTGTTCAACTCTAATTTGAACAATTACAATACTTTTCTAGTGTCAATGATAATTGCCCATTGTTTTCATGTTTCAAACTGCAAAGCACATTCACATTAACGGTACAATTGACTTTGTTACATTGTAATCAACATTCTTGTTGATGCAAAACTAAATGCTAGTCATTAGCAGAGAGCAAAAAGAAGTGTAAATTTACAAAATTCATTGCTTTTATGATTTACTTTTAGTGAACAGGGAATGCAAGAAATGAACAATCAGTTTCAATCTTTCATCTTTCACTCTTTTAAGGTCAAACCTTTCAGTGAAAATTATTTGTCTTTAGGATATTTCAAAGTTTGGAGATGAATTTTAACAAAACGAACACAATTAATCCGAGTTGAAAAGGTTCTTTTCTTTACCTTTTTAACCTTAACAATTGCTTTATGTTTGATTCTTCATCTGATTCAGAAGACGTCTGAAACTGGAAATCAATACATGAGGTTGGAAGAATAAAGAAAAATGTTTGACAACAAATGTTGAAACAAGTTTCATTTTTGAAATGATTTAATGATGCTTTCAAATTTAATCTTCAATGTTCTTCAAAAAGATCAATACAATTAAAAATTTAGTCTCAGGTGATTCAAGGTCATCCCAGGTCATTCCATGTGAACCTCATTTTTCAAAAGCAACTTTGAAATGATGAAACGTGTTTGCTTTATTTAACAAATTCTTAGTCAATCTAATCCCTTCTCGAATCCTTTAATCCAAGATTTGAGCAATAAAATTGCCAACATTTAATTGTCTTTTTTTCAAAGATCAACATCCATTGTCAGTGTTTTCAATGAAACTCCATTGTTATGATTCCCTCACCAAATCCAGTTTCCTGTGGCTTCTCACACTGCTTCATGTTTATTTTGATTTTTTGGGTAACAACGAAATTCAATTCCATCAGAAACTTACAAAATTTAATCAATCCTAATTACTATGGATCATGTTAGTGGTGTTTCTTGTTATAACAATTGGTTTTTGTTTTGTAACGAAACACTAGAACCAAGAATTGGCAAAAACAAAAACAACCAAAAATAGAAAACAAAACAAAGTATTTTCATATCATCAGTTAAGAACAAAAAATCAAAGAATATCAGTTCGACAAAAGATCTTAAAGTAACTGATAGCCATGAATCAGCTGCTTGAGTCAACCACGTTTTACCCAAAGAATGCTCATTTATATTTCCATCTGAATTCTCGACGGTTCAATCAGTCTCGAGAACTGAGGACATTTCTTGTTTCAATTTGAGACGATAATCATTAAGTTTCTGATGGATTTAAAATGGTTGTCAAAAACGGTCAAAGATCAAACTGGTGGGAAACTGAGTCTTGGAAGCATTTGTGAACAGGTAAGAACTTTTCAGTTGATATTCTGACGCAAAATGCTGAAAACAAAGAAACTAAATCGTAAATCGATACATTATTTTCAGTGGAAACCCAAAGTCACTAATGATCTTAACATTTAAACTTGTTCGAGTGATCTTTTTTTAAACTTGGTAACATCAATGATGGAAAAGAAAATGAATGAAAAAAGCGATCGAATGACTCGAACTCTTGAAAAGGTCAAAATAATTGGCCAAAGTTAGTATTATAATTGAGTTTTGATGAACCAAATGGAAGAAACGATCAAAAATTGGATTATTTTTTATCAACCTAAAAATCTTTTCAAAGATTGCTTATCGTTAAAGGGAATGGAAACGTAACAAAAAATACATTTGTTTCATTTCAACCGATTGATAAATAATCTTTTTACATGGTTTCAACACTTTTTAGATGAACAAAAGGTTCGATAATAAAAAGATAAACATCGAAGTTTCAGTGCCAATAGACTGAATGGAAACCCCAGCATTCCACCTCTATTGTACTTGAACCAAAATAAAGACAAACAATACAAACTCGTGATTTTCAAAGAACGTCAAAATTAAAGGATAAAAGTTTTCAAGGTAAATCAATTTGAGAGGAAAAAATTTTAACCAAAAAAGTCAATCAAACTTGAAGAAAAATGAATGAATGATTAATCGACGTTTAAGTGTAAATATAATAAACGAGTCTCTAATCAATTTTGCAACCTTTTTACTGCCATTTTATCAGTTGCTTCTTTTGCTCTCATTTTCTGTTTATCTTACCTTTCAGTTTGAACGAGAAAAAAACAGTCAAATCTGATTGATAATCATTATCCTCATAACTTTTTACGTTATAATTTCACCGTACTTCTCTTGTGCTCTTCAACAACCAATAACCTCAACCTTCAAGTGCAACAAGTGTTGGTAAAAGTTGAACCAGGCAAAACTGATAATGATTGCGATTCATCATTTGTTGGTCAAACTGATGCTCTTGCTGTCGACAATTGCACTGATTGATCCAATAACCGGAGTCTACTCAGGTAATGTAACAATCATTTGTCAATTTTTAAAAATGTTTTGCTCTTTACTTTTGGTCTTTGCAAGCAAAACTGCAAAAGAAAAAAAAAGTGAAATCTCTTTTGAGGTAAACAATTTTACATCAATTTTTACTTTACCTTTGCATGTTGGTTACAAAATACTTGAAAGCTAATCTTGCAAAGTCTTGACTCGATGAGATAGTGAACCAAGAAGAAGACTGAACAAGATGAAAAGGCATTAAAAAGTTTTGCAATTGTTGGTTCTTTTCTCATCTCGAGTGTCATCCTTTCATCATGCTGTTAACATGAAAACAGCTTAAAAACTGACCTTTTTTTCGCTTCTCCTTTTAAACTTGCATTACTGTTCCAAGTTTTGTTTTTGTTTCTCACAACTTCATGAGACTTTATCTTTTCTTTATTTCAACAGTCTTTTTTCCATGTGTTTCCACTCAAGATTCAATTTACATTATTTATTAGTGATTAGTGAATGAGACAAAAAAAATATATCCGATAACGAGTCACATTTTTTTTCTTCGTCTCTCGCTCTCTGTCTATTGATTCGTTATCATGTTGATAATGTTTTATTCATAATTGTTTTAAACTTATCTGATCAATGTTTCTGCTTGTTCACCATCTCTTCACTTTATCATTATTCAATTTCAATCTCAACCTCTCTTGGGTCAACTTTTTTCTATCATCAATTTCTTGTTCCTTTTTTGCTCACAACAAGTGTTGTACAAATGGTGTCAATATCTACTTCGAGTTTAGTTTACCTTATTGCAAGGAAACGTTTAAACACTTTTATTAGGCTTTTCAATAGTAAAGCTGAGAGGAAAAATTTGATTTTCGAATTTTTTTTATTCTTTGATCTTTAATGAACAGAAGAATCAAGAATTATGAAAGAAAGAAATGTTGATTTGAGATGCGACTTCGTTATATCATCTAATCAACTGTTTTCACAGTTAAAGACCAATGAGATAAGTTAGAGTAAAATGTTTATTGAGAAAAAAAGATCGCTTTTTCTTTCTTTCATCAATTATTAAGACATTCCAGTTTTTTATTGCAATTATTGACTGTCATGGCTTCGATTCGTTTATAAATCAAATAAAGTTGAACAGACTGAAGTAATGATTGGTTTCTAAGTTGAACTTTAACTTTTTGATCAACAGTTTACTTTGATTAGCTTTTTTCATTTTAATCTGTCAGTCAGGATTTACAATCAAACTAGCAGTAAACTTGTCAATCATTAATATTTAACGAAAAAACTTTGAAGAGAAATGGATTTTTAGATTTGTCTAGATGACCATGTAACTACTGACAATGTAAGAGCATAGATAATGAAAGAGTTAAGAGGTAAGAAGAGGTGAAGTTTTGTTTGTTTTCCATTGAATCGCTTTTCTGAACTCAGTCATCCTTGGCCAAACAACTTATCATGCAATTTCAATGACGAGTACTTGAACCGGCGCTCCATGATTTTAGTCGCTATGTAATCTCGTTGTTTTAGTTTATACTCTGAGGGTTCCTGTCAGACCAATAAACACAATGCCGTATTGATGTTCCTAGACTGTTCTTTGTTCTGACTTTAGTGAACAAAAGAAATTGTCTCTGACCCTGAATATCAAGAGCAATAGTATTCCTCTTCACCCTTTCATTTGTCTCAAACAGATGCTAAACCAAAGTATGTTGAAATTGAGAGAAAAATCGGTTAAAGAAACTGATTCGTTATCAGAATAAAGCCAATGAATCTGTGCGACTTGCAAGTGACGAAACAAAGACAAAAGTAAGAATCAAACGGAATCAAGTAATTGGATAAACTTTAATGTCATCTGAAGTTTGTCAATAACTTGAAATGTATTAAAAAGCATTCTTCTAACACACACAAACCTTTAAATAACTAGAATCACAAAGTTTTCACTTTTTTCATCCAATATTATTAAATAGTAAATGATACAGCTTAAAATGTAAACAGAAATAAAAAGATTTATACAAATCTTATTACTTTATTATAACATGTTATCAAAAGTATTATGATAAGCATTAATAATTTGTTCACAAAAGAATAGAAAAAAAAATTTAATAAGATAAACTTTGACTTTATTTTATAGATTCAGTTCTTAAAAATGTTCGATACAATGAATGTAAATGAAAAAAAATTGTGAAACATAAGAAAAAATCATTTTCATGGAATAATATTAACAAGATTTTGCTTTAATGATGAATTGTAAACAAGATAATAATGTTATAATAAGTTAAATTCGTGCTCATTATGTTGATAGATTCATGATTCAATGAGGCAATTGAGTAGGTTGAGTATAATTGTGAAGGAACATAAATGTTTCGTTCCTTTGAGTCTGTTTTCTAAGACGAAAAGATAGATTGAAATTTGTCGCAATTTGATGGAGATAATGTTCAATGATGGAATGGGCAGAAAGAAAATGAAATTTTTTTTCTTGCAACATTTGCACATTTTATCGATGAATTTAATCATTTTCACATTTCGATTTACTTTCAATACTTTTGCCCGTCAGCATGAAACTTGAACAATTGTTAACTCGACTAAAACAGACTATATCTGGAAGCAATAAGATGAATAACATGGAAAAGAAATGTTTTGAATAAATTACTGATGATCAACAGAATGATAAAGAGCATGTTATTGATTATTTCAATCGATTAACTTTCAAGATGCATTATTGGGTGAAAAGAAATGAAACTCATGATAATGTTTACCGTTGTTTGAATCATCATGTTGGGCAAAGACAACAATGACAAAATCATGGTGAAATGATGCATTTATGTGATCACCCAATGATAACAGTTTTGCATTGCCAGCAAAAAAAGTAGTTATTGTAACTGATTGAATAAAGCAAATTGATAAAACTTGAAATGTACAATTACCTGAAACCAAATTGCACATTCATTTTAAAGGATTTCAAGTCAAATGCGACTATTGCGTGGTTCATGAACAATTTTATCGAATCTCAATTTACAGCCTTTCTCGTTGCCTTAACTTTTTATCAATTTGCAGTCAAAACAGTTAGAATTGCAGAGTCTAGATTTGGACTATGAGTTGCAAGTCTCGTTGATAAAATATTGCAATTTTAGTGCTCCAAAGAGCCAAAAATAATCTAACGAAACTAACGAAATTATTGTCGGAAAATGTTTTTCTGTAGATCGTGAACGAGTTTGAAAATTAGCTTCATCTCGTAGAAACTTAAGTTAAATCTTGCAAATTTTAAGACTTAGGCTAATCCAAATTTCATTGAAAGGAATCCTTTGCTGTATGTTTTTTTGTGGCATCAGGACAAGGAACAGGTTCGTCAGTAGCAGCAGCTTCATCAACTAATGGATCAGGAACAGCAGCAGCCTCGGCATAAGCTTTAGATTCATCATCAGGATCAACGTCAACCGGTAACTCAGTTAACTCAGCATCATCAGGATCAGATCAGCATTAGGACAGGATCAGGTTCATCAGGTCGCTCAGTAACGAAAATCGAAGAAAAATTCAAATGTTGATTTTGATTAAAGGCTAAACATAAAGTTCGAAATGTACGTTCTTCAATTTATGAAAACTCTTTTCTTGAAAACGTCAACTATTTTTTGAGTTTTCCCGATATTCGATGCTAAATTCAACTTGAATTTATCGACTTAACACGTTGAACAAAAATTGATTAGCATGATATTGGATTGACCTCGATAATTGCGAAAATTTTTCCGCCATGAAATTTACATTAAAATTATAAATTAAACTTTTACTTCGTAATTTCACTGTTTTAGTTGAATATAATTAAATATAAAAAGTGTTAAGGAAGGGATTAGTTGATCTTTACAAGTGGAATGTTGTAAAATGTGAAAAATATTTACATATTTTATTCATGGGATAAAATGGAAAAGAAAAGCATAATTACTTTTCCTTGCTTTTCTTATTCCATTTTCATTTTTATCTTTAACACAAGCTAAGGGTTTCATTTAGTCTTAACTGTTTTTTCATTGTGTCTTTCACAGATTCATCTCAAGTTTGGTTAACTGTTTCATCTCGAGTCCACAAGAAAAACATTTTCTCATCAACTTACATCCAAAGAGAATTGGAACTCAATTGGAATTCAATTCCAATTACACCAACAACATGGATAGGATTATTCGACCATCAACCTGACTCCAATTCAACCCTTGACCCAGCCAAAGCCATCTATTCATTTACCAATCTCGAGACAAGCTCAGGAAAACATGAGTAAGATCTTTCACTCAAACATTCAAATCTTTTTCACAACATAATCGAGTTTGAAAACTTTGGTTGACATTCAGATAAATGTTAGTCAAGTGTTGTTCAACTCCAAGTTTGCACCATAAAGACATTCACTCTTCAGGATTTTAATGAAATTTCGTTAGACCTTCAAGCTTCATCTACAGCTTAATCAGATTGAAAGTTATTGTTGGTTTAAAAGTTGAAAAACATTGTAAAAGCATCTTGAAAAGGTTTACCCAAATCAAGAAGATTCACCAAATAATCAAAAGAAAACCTTTCAAGTGAACTTTTTTACATCCATTAAGCTTTCCAAATTGTCAAAACTTTTCCCATCTAAATGTGAGTAAAACTTGCCAGTTATCATGGTTGACCAAAAGTGCTTTTCAAAGGATAAAAACATGTTTTAACTGAAACCCATTAAGTTAAAGACTAGACAAGTCTTGGTTAACCTCTTGCAACAACTCATTTTACTCTCTGCTTTGGACACAAAATAATGACATTTTTGGTTTTCCCTCTTCAAATACCTTTTACCTTATTACGAAACTTGAACTTGACCGTTCTCTTCGTCCGTTGTCCAATTGACAAGTTCAATGGCATGTTTGGATGATAATCTTGATCAGTTGTCTTGATCGAGACAAAACTTGCTCCTTGTTAACAAGCTAATTTTTATGGCAATAAAGGACAATCTTTTTGTACAAGCAATCGTTAAGTTTGTTGTACATTTTCACGTCAAGTTGATGTGATAAGCCTTGTTTCATCCTCTTTGGGTTTTTTATGGATTATGGTTTGCCATTGCAGAATTGCTGGTCAAGATTATCATTTCATCTTCCATTCAGCATTAAATTCATTTTCATGTTCCCTTCTTTTCCCAGTTCGATGTATTTTGATAACACTTCAATACTTTTGATAGTTTTTAATTTTTTCATCTTCAATCAGTGAATCAACTGTTGATAAATATTTATAAAACCATCAAGTATGAACATGAGAAAAATCTGATCAGATTTCTTCTGCTTTGAAAGATTAAACTTTTCGAAACAATTTTATCTTGCAATCCAACAGTCTTAATGAATGATGCCCACGCCAACAGCTTTGTTTCTAAGCAATGAAAAGATTGATTCTCTAGGTGATAACATGGGTCATTGAGCAAAAATCAGCAAAGCAAAAGACGACTAAACTCAGACAGAATAGCAGATAAAGCCGATCAAGTGAAATGAGATGACCAGAAAGGTTGCACTGTTGCACGTCTTGAAATGCTCCATGTTGGGTGATGAAATAAAAAATATCTGAACATACATTGCTATCAATACTTTAAATAGAGCTTGCAACACAAAGAATTTTCTAAGTGAATATAATCGAACAATTTAACATGAACTTTGACGCAAACATGAAACCCTTTTCACCCGGTCGTAACACTGTACTCAATGGGCAAATAGGTTACGGAGAGCTAAAGGGGTTTACCTTTAGTTACAAACTGTAAGTGGCGAGAGGCAACGGAGGCATTAGATCTCTTGAAAGTAACGAATTTATAAAAATGCAATTTGTAGTTGAATACAGTAATGATTATAATCCAGAAACTGGGAAACGTTTTTCGCTCAGATTAAAGTGAAGCAACAAGTTGAACTGAAACTGATTTTTCTTTAGTAAAAAGTAGTGTTCTTACATTGTAAACATGAAACGATTCTCAACCATTTTGTAATCAATCAGTTTCATTGATGCAAAATGAAAACTTGAACAAATGATGTACAAAGAAGCTTAATGCCAAGGTAACTTAGCAAAGCTCATCCATGAGCTATTTATAGCTCGAGTTTAATGTAAAATACTGGAGATTCAATGAAAGGTGTAAAATCTGTTGGCCATTTAATTGGATAGTCAAACTTGAATTGGCTTAATTCAGTCACCATTTCAAATTGCTGAATAGCTTTCAATTGATATAAAATGAACAACTTTACTGTGTTCATTCTTTTAAAAAATCAATCAATTTATCTCTTATATCGAGCATTTCAATCCAATTTATTGAATTGCATTTTATCACCATTTTGTAGAGAAGCTTGAAATCAACTGAGATTCAATCATTCATCATAATTAGATTTATGTCTTTGATATTAACCTTGAAAAATCTAAATTCCGAAGCCATTTAAATAACAAATTGTGATGGATATTAGACTCAACTCGAATCATAAATCAATTTCATTGAAATGAATTGAAAGAAAAATTTCTTTAGCTTATTAACAATTCCATATTTTTCCTGGCAAATAATGTCAACTTGAATCATAAACTTGAAATGGATTCCAGAAAAGCAAAGAAAGGCTATTGAAACTGTACCAGTTGTCATTGGTCAGTTGCTAGACGAAGGTTGTCATTCAATTTACATAGATATGAGTTTGTTCAGGTTGCAAGTTTTGATTGGCACTTTTTATGCTCAAATCATTCTGAAAAAATTCCGATTCCAACTTTTCTTCAGACAAGAAAAAAATTGTCTGGAAAAGAAACGAAAAATTTTGTTCGAAATGTTGCCAATTTTGCTCTTTAATTGATTTTTAACCTCTTTTCTTATTCAGTTCAAGAGTAACAGTCTGGAGTCTTAAAGATGATGAATTTAAGAATAAGAGGAAATGTTATCAGAATCATGATACACGCTACATGAGATGCTTAGAGAATTGTACATTCTAAATGTAATACAAATGTACATTCATGAGTAACCAGAAAAAGTTTATACTCAATTCCCAGTCGATGTTTCGATCTCGAGTTTCTCATTTTTTCTTCTCTTCCTTGTTCACATTTTCATGGAACCTTACATTTCAACTCATTTTTTGCTTCGTTCTTTACTCAACATTTTTTTCCTCCATGTAAATCGACAGATAATTTATCAATTTCTTTTGGGAAATTTCCATCCCATGATGTTGCTCAAGAACGGTCTGGCAACTTTTTTTTCAATTTCGATTTCGAAATGCATATTGATTACAAAAGAAAGGGATTGAAGATTAATGATTTCGATGAGAGTTGAAATGGAACATGGAATTTCATCTGCCATCGAGACATGAACTTGCCGATTGAGTTTCTCTCTCTTGCTTGCTAATGTTTACTCATTAATCCAAAACTCTAATTGAACTTGATGAACAAAAATTGTTCAACATGGGATTCACCTTCAATCGGATGATTACACTGTTTGCTATTAGTTCACCATGTAATCAAATGCTATCAATTCAAGTGTAAAAACTTTCACAAATAGCTGCTTTCATCTGTTGTTTTATTATGCATCGGAGCAATACTGGTTTAGCCAGTGATGAGCTGAGCTTTGTTGACTCATTGATAGACTCAGTTGATTGCATTTGGTTTTCATTGAATATCCAAATGAACGAAGCAGAGGTAAACAAAGATGGGTGCAAAGATGTAAATTGTATCAAAATAATTATAAACACACGCTGCATAGTTAATGTTAATTAATGAATCAAGATAATTCAAATAGATATTGATTTCATGAGTAGTCCTCACAAAATGGAAAAATCTGAGTGTTGATACTCTGAAAAGATTGTTATTGAAATCGTGATAATACATTCATTAAGGACAGGTAAATTATTTTTCTATTTCGGTCAAAAAACTTGGATTGAATTTAAAATAGGATAAAAACTACCGTCTTTGTTACACGAGCTTCCTGATGAATGAAAAATCATGAAAAAAGGAAAAAACAATGCAGTACAACAACAATGTATAATTTAATTATGTTCAAAAAAATCGTAAGATTCATACAAAAATAATATTATCTTAATTAAAAGAAGTAATCATGAAATAAGCAAAAAGTTACTGAATATGGATGAAAATAGTTATAATGTTTAATTAGTTTCACTTCGTTTCTATTGTCAAAAGAGTCTAGCGGGTTGAATTGATTGAATGTTGCAACATATCGCATTATCTTTCGAGGAAATGGCCTTTATGATATCGAATGCCAGGAGATAGTTATGGTGGAATTCATGAGTTACTGCGTTTTCTAGCCAGTGTAAGGGAATAATTTTCAAAAAAATATTGTGGCTTTTGTTATAGCATTTCAAAGCGAGCTCGGAAGTTTCCAATCTTTGCTTTTTTGTTGATCTTTAAGAGTGTGGGAACCCGTATTCAACTTAAAAAGCTTGAGGATGTCGCAAATCGTGTTATGGGTGGTTGATCTCGATATATTGAGCATCGCTGAAAACTCTTATAACATTGTCTTCCGATCTTTTTGCTGCTAAGATACGGGCGAGAGGCTATCTTAGTCTATTTCTAAAGATCGTCCGGTTCAAGGAAGATTTTTGAAATTGACATGTACGAAAATTTCAGCGTTTAAAAAAGGCATTCAAAAATTCAATTTTCATGTTAAACGTTAACTAAAATGAATCAATTGTCTAATATTCAAGGATTGAATGAATTTTGTAAACAGAAAAATTATCATTTTTCATTCTTGAATTCATTTACAGTTAATAATCTGAAAATTTTTCATTATCAAATGACTCTTCAGTTTTACAAACTATGTAAATGCTTAGCATTACAATTGAATTTGAATAAATTAAAGGCTCTCTTTGAATGGAAAATAATGAAAAAGAAAATCTTTTCAACAATAAATCATTCAATTTTCATTTCAAATAAAATGATATTTTTAACTTTTTACTATTATCGATTAAACAATTGAACATTGAATGTAAAAAACGCAATAACATGAGTTAAAAGTGAAACAAAGTTGATGACTCTTCGAACTGGGAATTGTTTTATTGATTGTTATCTTGTTGAAATGTGAATGTGATAAATCTAACTTGTATTGATTATTTAAATCGTTGAGTTTTCAAACGCAATTTGTTTAGTCTGTTTACAGATTTTTTCATTCACTCAGTTGGGCGAAGAAAAAAGTTAATGAAACGGATAATTTTACCATGATTTATATGGATTTGCATTTTTCACTTTTTTTCGTGTTTCTTGCTTTTTTAATTTAATTTGTTCATTGTTTCCAAATTAACTTG